TCAGGTTCTATGCGGGTCGTATCATACAGCCCGAGTACTCTCCTGTGACGGACTTCAGTGAAGCCAGGTAGTTACTTTTATGGTTTAAGGGGGTAAGAGTAAATTCAGTAGCTCGTAGTGAGAAATACTATGAGGATCTGCATGTCAGGCATCTCATACAGGTGCCGTCAATTCGATGATGCTCAGTGCTCGCGAGGAGGCTTCTGCAATTTCATACATTGGAAGCACGTCCCGAGGAAGCTGAGGAGGTACTCAGCGGAGTTCCGTGATTCTCGTGAATGACCACTTCATCGCAGGAGACTCTATCGTAAGATGTACGAGCTACATCCAGAATACCGCAGTCGTTCGAGATCCAGGTCGAGAGAGCGTCGCCGTTCTAGGAGTAGAAATTAAATAGGCTCTCAAGTGCAGTGATGCGGTTCTCAGGTCGTGATCGTGGACACCGTAGCCATCATCACCATCATGATGACCGCGATCGTCGTGATCGTGGTCGTGACGATCGAGGCCGGGACCGTGGTCGTGAAAGGCAGACTTCCGAGGAACGTCGAGCTATGATTGACCAGTGGAATCGTGAAGCCGAGGCACAAGGTGGTATCGATCAAGCTCAGCTATAAAGTGATTGGATACGAAGCGAAGAGGTGGATGATGGTTTCCCTTAAGAGTTGATAGACATTGCTGCTTATTCATCATAAGCATTGTGTTATCAAGTTTTTCGTGATTCTATTGTCTAGTGCGCCTCGGTCAGAACTCTTTCAACCAACTTGGTTGGTTGGTTGAACCAAGGGCTACATCAGAAGCTCTTCCAACAGAGGCTATTATGGTGGAGAATGTAACGAGCTTTCTGTGATGGATACGTGCTTGTAGCATCTGTGAACTCCGCACTCTACCATAGGAACCATCGAGAAGGAGCCGATCCATAGGATCACTCTACCATAGGAGCCGGTCGCCTAGGGAAAAAGGGAGTTAAGACAACCATTTGGCGTTGAAAAAACTGAGTTGTTTAAAAGTCCGTAGTTCAAGCAAGTGGTGGACGCTGCAGATGTCTAGGGGAGCGATTTCTGATTCCGGTGCGATACGACTATGTTCCTGAACTTTTCACTATTGCGTTGCATACGATATGCAGTGCATATTGTGCACTATATCACATTCCTATTGTATAACAGTGGTACTGACACTTCTTCTAGGTGAGTTAAAGTTTTCAGTGAAAACTCTTCACTCCGTTGAAACCTCGGTGAGGGGGCTCACCGATAGCAGTGGTTGTAGAGGCGGAGCTACTCTGAAGTAGCGACTTCGGTTTGGCAGTCAACTGAGCGGATTCCGAGGGCATGCCAACAAACGAACTGCCGTTGTACAGCCTAGTTACAGCTTATGGAGCTCTTATAGGTTCGATGATAGTAGTAAACACAGTACTACAAAGGGAGATTATTTTGTTGGACTCATCATCCAAGACAACATCATCCTCATCAGCCACACAGTCTCTAGCGAAGGAGGCCGCAGCAACTGGCCCTCAGGCTTTGCCCTACTCCTTACGCCGAAATTCACAACCAAATTAGAAGAGGGTTCCCGTACATTCGAAATTCCACATGCAATCTGCCGGGATCGAACCTGGGTGCTCAGCATGGAATCAGCTCTCACACGGCCTGAGCTTGGTCTATCTCAGACCCCATAACCACCGTTAGAATCATAACTCAACACAGACGATACTCTCGACTTAGACGAAGTTTCTGCCAGGCTACCCGGCCTCTCAACTGACCGTTCATGTGACCACGGTCTCTCTGGGCTTGAACGACAACCCCCAAAAAACTTCTACTATTCAGCACTACCGCGATGAGAGTGAAAGAGACAGGGCGAAAAAAATAAATACATGAGTAAATAAGAGTCGGAAACCCTGGAGTAGCTGACCAAATTGACGACCAAAAATAAAGGCGAAGAAGCCGATGAGAATCTCTACTGCTCATGAACGGCGAACGAGTACACTTTTCTTACGCCCACAAACCCATTGTATTATCACCAACGTGAATAACGATAAAAGTAAAAAAATATGGTAGGAGTAGATACGAAACGACCAACCGCAGGTAGCTCGAGCGAATGACAGATGTGCGCACCATCTCGCATATGAGTGATCCTTCATTCAGCGGAAACCCTGAGCTCGCTCCCTCCCCGCTGATGCTTGCCGTTCCAGTGAAGATACATAGGCTGACAATGCTGGGGTCGATAAGTCCGATGACAAAGTGTCCTTCTGAAGAGAAACAGTGATATCGGGAATACACAACTTTCTCGCCCTCACAGTAGATTCTCGGCCTGAGCGCAAGACACATACGAAATCGTGTAGCTCAGCGTGAAGAGTGCTCTTGAAGGGGTAGCATTCGCCACAGAGGTCGTAGTCGCACACTTGACATTTGAAGCGGGGCCCTACTATAGGCTTCGTCCCACAACCATCACAGTCCACACCTATCAGTATCATCCCTTAGGCAGAGACAAGAGAGTCACCGCAGCTCACCATAATGGGTAACTTGCTGTATAGGAGTAGGCGGTACATCAAAGTGGCCGAGTCGAACGGCCGCTCGGAAGCACGGTATCCACGAAGGAGCTACCACCAGCAACACCTGTGAATGAGGAAAGGTTAACTTAGGTCTCTGTGGTTGTTGAGGACATATTCAACTCACCTGAACCTGAGTGTCGAAGCATAGCGTTGAAAAGGACTTGAGGAGGCCAACGAACCATTGACCAAACTCGGTGATTTCAGGCGTGTTGGGACCAGAGTTCACCACCGCTTGTAGCAGCGGCATGAACTCGTGAAGCTCTCGTATATGGGTTATCGCCAACAGCATACTCTAAAGTGGCAAAGCATGCATACCACACCTCCGTCAAATCGGCGGGACGCCCACCTGCAAAGTAGGCCTCATACGCTCATAGTCATTGCGCACATAGTGGGATAGTCTATCCGTATGACGGCTGCATCGCTGTATCATGAGTGGTATAAACGACACTGTGACCTGGCGAAGGCCTCAGGTTCAATC